TATATAGGAGTTTACAAAGAATCTCTGACTTCTTCCCTGCAATTATTTGAAATTTCAGCTTCTGCCAATAAATTCAAGCGTTTCAGGCAAGTCAAATGTAAGCATATATATTAGATAACCATGTTAACCGTACCAAAAACAAAGCTGCATAGCATTTCAGCACTAGCAAACCAGCATGTTTAGTGAGAGACAGAGCAAAATAAGTAAAAAAAGTGACTAGTGGAAATAATTTTTTCAAATTTTTGAAAAAAGGCATTTGGCCATCCTTTTTTGTGTTTTGAAAAATATCTCAGCAATTGTCAGGATTGATGGAAATTTAATTTCAGTAAGTTGCAACTAAACGCTGAGCAAAGCTGTCCTGTCTTGGATTGCCTCTAACTGCCGCCCTTTTTTATCGTTAAAATTATCAAGAATAAATGCGAAAAATTCCGAGACTTTCCGAGCAGTCAGTATGTGTATCCCATGTTAGTGATACACTTGGAACAAACAAAAATTTAAAGTGAAATGAATTTAAAATTCAGAACCTACTTCCAGGAAAAGAACTTATTAATAGATCAATACCGCCTCGTTGACTTATCATTAGATTTCAGGCACATTTTCAATGATTTCTTTCCACTGCAAGTTATTGTCAACAGTCCGCCGAATATTTCCGACCCATCAGAAGTACGTAAATTTTCTGCACACAAGCAGTACATTGGTACTGATAATTGTTTGAAAATCAGCTCGTTGCTATACTTCACAACATAGGCTAAAGTACTTACGACACAAAATCCATCCTTCTTTCTAGCTTTTTTTACTTATTTTGACAAAAAATTGGCATAGGCATATTCAGAATTTCCGTAGTAATTTCAGCACAGCGAATTCGATGATATGATAAGAAGCGTAGAAATGATACCTCACAGTTATGGTCCCAATCAAACGATGCTATTTCTGAGAGCATACGAAAATTTTGACCGGAAAATGTTCGATCTCCTTCATTTGTTTGGCATTTCGGGTCAATCACATTTCCAACCTTCATACGATAATTTGCCGATGTTTCTCGACACTCTCCATAATCCGCCTTCTATTAAAATGCGATTCGATGAAAAGTAAGAACACAGTATGGTTTTTTGGAAGTTTAATAACTGTGATGACAACAATAATAACAATGATGACAGCAATAATAGTAGTAGTAATAATAACAATAATGACAATAATAACAGCAATAATAATAATGATGTTAAGCGGGAAATCAAGGCTAGCAGCATTTCAAATGACCGCATTGGCACAAAATATGTCGGAGTGGTCGAGTCGTGCGGTGTTCGTGGATCAGTGCCGCAGTGTTGTACAGGGTTATCCGCGATTCAATGCCACTATCTATGACGGTGATACGGCGGTACTGGATCTCATATTGACTGCCAAGAAAGATCTGATCGGATCGATTGCGGTCACTGTTTTCTGCATGGGAATTGTTTGCGTATTTTTCATTTACAGCAGAACTGGTGTGCTCATCGTTACATTCACAATTTCATCAATTTGCTTTAGTAAGTTTCCGATTACAAATTTTGGTACTTCGACCAGTTATTGCATCTAATTCTAGTACTTCAAGCAATGGACTATTCTCAATTTCAGCGCTGGTTGGCTCGCTCTCTTGGTGGGGTGCCGATATGGATCCGGTGACAATTGTTGATGTACTGATTGCAACTGGATTTAGTGTCGATTACACAGCACATATTGCTTACAAGTACTATAAATTGAATGGTGATCCGGCGGAACGAATCAAGCAAAGTTTGCGCGAAATGTGTAGTCCCATGTTGCAGGTTAGTTCTTACATCTCAAACAATACCAGACACTGCCCGGATTAGTAGCACGGAAACCGCCTGATGCTACCTGGTATGGTACTCTAGCTCCGAATGATGTTTTCAGCACTTTTTGGAGCAAGCATAACAGATTAAGATCAGTCTCTAGAAATCTGAAATCTAAATAATACAGAAATAAAATGGGACACAAATTGCCCAAGCCGTGCTATACCAATCAGACTTATCAAAACATTCTCAACCCTGAGTTTGGAAAAAAAAAAAAAAAAACCAAAACAAATCCATGGGATATCTAAATCGGACTAGGCATATTTTGAGTAACTGCACTCCTCCTGAAAGCGCAGAACTGCATACGAGGAGAGCTGCAAATGCAAAATTATATGCGGCCGAAAAAGTTAAACTCACGCCACTCGCCGGGGAAATTAACTCTCTCTCGTCTCCCTTTATTTTCTTAATAAAAGTATCCCACCGTTCATGTGACCTGCGAAAAAGAAATATCAAGAATATGGAGCACGTCCTGGAGATACGTAGCTCAAGTCCAAATCGCTTACTGTAGTTTCTTCAAAGCAACAGTACGCCCCAAGAACGCCAAAGTCCGGGTTCGATTACCCGGGCAATGTTGTTAAATTCAGCGATTTTTTTTTAAGTCTCTAAAATAGTAAATCGGAAATAAAAAGGCTTTCTCCTTCTTTAGGAAAGTCT